ATCTGTCCCTTCAGGTGAAGCGCCTGTACTGTCCTTCCCCTCCAGCTCCACGGGCGTTTATGCAGCTATAAACAAAATGCACATCGAATGCTGTGCCTATGGCCTACTTTGTTAAGGACCATAAAGATGACTGACTGCCTTTATGTTCCTGCCGGTTTTTCATTGTTTGGGCCGACTGCAGAAGTACTGGCACAGTATATTAATGCTTCCAGTACTGGGACTCTGTTTTGTTGACTAGCATGGGTGCTAGCGTTGTTTTATGGCATAGGGAGGTAATCATGCTGCTTTTGATTTGTGCTGCAAGAATATTGTATGCCGTGACATGCTGTGAAGGAAAAAAAAATAGCTGAAACAAAAATTGTGGGCATATAAAATAGCATCAGATCTGTGGCCTAACAGTTAGCACATCACACTTGAGTTTAGCTCGCTAATTCAAATCTGGTTAGCGTGAAATTGTAAGTCTGATTGCTTAGAAAAGTAAAAGGTTTCTTCAATAAATGGCACAATTTGAGGTGTCATTTGTGTTTGTAGCACTCTCTAAAATCTCTAAATCTGGGTATAAGCAATAATAAATATAGCTAATGGTAATGGAAAGTGCGAAGTGTATTGAGTGTAAGCATTGCTGATGCTTATTAGAAGGTGCGATGGGTTCTTAGTACACCTGAGGCTCCAGGGGATGTTGTACTATTAATCTGTTTCACAGAGATGAAATTGTGATAACCGGTAAGCTGCTGTTTTCAAGTATTTGCACATTTCCATGTCTAAAATAAGGCATTCTATCACTGACTAATAACCTTTTCTTTGCCATTTAAAGTGAAATTACTGAACCTAAACATAGGAGCCTGAAAGACATGCTAATTTAAACAAAAAATCTCAGACAGACGTAGAGGTTTTTGCATTAGAAGTATTCATTCATATATATAGGCTCTGCAAGGAGGAATGGCAGAGGATCTCCAAATCCAGGTGTGAAAAACTTGTTGCCTCTTTCCCAAAAAGACTCATGGCTGTATTAGATCAAAAGGGTGCTTCTACTAAATACTGAGCAAAGGGTCTGAATACTTAGGACCATGTGATATTTCAGTTTTTCTTTTTTAATAAATCTGCAAAAATGTCAACAATTCTGTGTTTTTCTGTCAATATGGGGTGCTGTGTGTACATTAATGAGGGAAAAAAATTAACTTAAATGATTTTAGCAAATGGCTGCAATTTAACAAAGAGTGAAAAATGTAAGGGGGTCTGAATACTTTCCGTACCCACTGTATATATATACTCTAATACAAATACAATACTCTAATACAAAGCCCCCATCCCATTATCATACTTTACGTTATTGTAACTTAAAAGCATAAAAGGAAAGATCAGTGCAATGACAGAAAGTGAGTTCAATCCCAATGTAGTTCTGGCTTACACACATCTAGTATGCATCACTCATATGGCACAAGCTGTGTGACATTGCTGTTCTACATACAGCAAGGTGATAATTTATGTGTGAGTTTGCATGTGTAATGCATGTCTTCATGCAGGATTACCGTAGTTATTTTCAGTGCTAATTAACAACAGTGTGAGAACTTCCTGAGCTGTATGATAATCAGCCCAGAACAGAGAAGAACATCATCTGTTTTAAACAAGGAAGCCAAGCTAATTTTTTATGTTTTTACACATGGCTGCAGGTATTTGCAGTGGTGTTTTACAGGAGTAGTTCACCCATAAATGAAAAGTCTGTCACTACTTACCCATTTCATTTAACGTGACGTGACATGTGGCCAAGTATGGTGACCCATACTCAGAATTAGTGCTCTGCATTTACCCATTCAAAGTGCACACACACAGCAGTGAACACACACACACCGTGAACACACACACACCGTGAACACACACCCAGAGCAGTGGGCAGCCATTTATGCTGCGGCGCCCGGGGAGCAGTTGGGGGTTTGGTGTCTTGCTCAAGGGCACCTCAGTCGTGGTATTGAAGGTGGGAGAGAGCGCTGTACATTCACTCCCCCCACCTACAATCCCTGCCGGTACGAGACTCGAACCCGCAAGCTTTGGGTTACGAGTCCGCCTCTCTAACCATTAGGCCACAACTTCCCACTGACTTTACCGGTTCCAAACCTGTTCATTCAGTAGGTTTGAGGATAGCATTTTTTTTATACAATTGCTGTCATTATTTGCAATTGTATTGTTGACAATCTGAATTCTGGCATGTAGCAACTGTCTTTCTGGAGATTTTGCTGGTTCTCTTCCGCCCATCTCACAATCTTATTAAATTGACTTTGTTCTTCAGATGCAGAAGTAGAAGAAAAGATTAAATAATGTTTCTGTGTAGGCAATAAATAATATTGGCCTTGAGGCTTTTATTGTTCGGGAAGGTGGAATAAAATCATAATTCATCATTGAAATGTGCTTTTTTTTTAAAAGTGTTTCATGTAGTGCTCAGTCCCAGTGGAGAACTCAAAGTACACTTAAAGCAGTCTGACAATACCCGACAATAAAATGTTTTTTTTATTGTTTTAAAAAATGTATTATTTGGAATACAGTGTTGATAATCCAGATTTATTTATTTATTTGTAAGGCAGGGAAGGTCCTTTTAAAATAAATGGAAACTTCTGAACCTAACACAGTTGTCTAGGTCCAAAGAGAAGATGACAAGAGGAGGAAGTCCTGTAGAAACATTATGGCTCGCCACTCATTTTCTGCCGCTTAAACAAATTGTTTCCTACACTTTATTGATAGAGTTCCTAACTCAAAATGCCAAAAGGCAACAGCGAGTGAATGCAATCTTCAATTCACCATGCCAGCTGTATAATAGGATTTTGAAAGTGCCATTTGATATGCCTTATGTATTTATTTTGAAGCGCATTAACGGCTGCGTCTGACTTTGCACATCTCTAAGTATAACCTGAAGATATTAAGGAGGTATTTTAAGGAGTGCTGTTACTCTTAAACTTAAAACGTAACAACATTAATGTAATTTTAAACAAAACTGAGCTAATAAAAACAACTTTTAATTGTGTGGATAAAATGAATAATTGTTTGGATGACTTGAATTATCTGCAGCTTCAAATTGATATTTTAAACATTGAATAATAATAATAATATTATACACCTTCAAGTTTTTGTTTTATTGAGTTACTCATATGGCAGTGGAGATATTTATATTAGCCAGTATGTTTTTTTGAAAAAAGGGGTAAATGTGTTAGTACTTTTTCACCTTGCTAAGACTCCTTTTAGTATTTACAAAAATGATTTTAATGGTCCTTTTGGGGCTTTTAGACTTTCCAATTAAGGAAAAGAAAAGTATTTTAATGACCGATTAGCTGCAGGGGTCATTTGACACTTAGCTGAACGTCTCCTATCTTAAAGGCTAAAACTAATTAAGACTTTTACCCAAGATTTCCCCTTAAATATGTCACAGCAGACCACTGTTATTGTCTCAAAATAATCTCCGTTTATAGCAGTGAAAGCAATTGCGGCTGCTCGTTACATTTCGATTTCAGATTGAATTTCACAAAGAGCAGGTCAAAATCTGATAAAGGTCCTTTTCATTTGGCAGTTCAACTAAATTCCAAATTAAACCTTGATGACGACTTTTATGCTTACTAATAATCGAATCACTCAAATTAGTGAGGTCCGTATTTCAAACTATTCAGCTCATTTCTTTATGTATTTATTAATCTATTTGTTTACTTGTTTATCCTTCAATATGATTTATTTACTCACAGGCTTCCCATCATGATACCTGCCAAAAGAGATGTGCATATATTTGTAATCCCTGTGGGAAGAAACCCTCCCAATCCTTATTTTGCATATGATTTTTTTTTCATATGAAAGTCTTTGTATCTCTCACACTGAAGCAGCTGTGCTTATATACAACGTTAAGCTTTATTTGATTGCTATGACTTCTTTCTTTAAAATAAGTAAATAAATAAATAACTTGGTCTGTCTGTCTACTCGTTGGCCTGTGTCAAGGTGTCTGACCTTATGAACTAAATGACTGCGTGGATCTTCCTAAGACAGTTCCAAGGTAAAACAGACTGTCAGGATCAAAAGCCTTGAAGGACAACATGACCGTTCCTGCATGTTCTCAGCATATATTATGTTGATGAACATTCAAAACAGTCAAATGTTAGCTTGCTCAATCAGGGCTCAACAGTAAGGATTTTAATGTATTTTTTTTTTTTTTTTTTTTTTTGTGCTAGTCTAGTCAGGCCAATAGGTCAGATCTTCACTTGCTCTAGTGACATTTTCAGTGGCCCTGAGGCACAAATGAGAAAAATGCAATTTTCTTAGAATTATTTGAAGTGTCAGAAAATATAATATTAAAAATATTAAAACAGCATCTTAAAATTGTCATATACAACATAATTTTTATATATAAATATTTAATATTTTAATTAATATGAATACTACTAAATATTATTACATTTAAATTTAATTGTATTGCTAAATTTGTATTTTAAATGTTGTTTTATTTTCAAGGCTCAACGGTAAGTTTTTTTTTTCTTTCCCTGCTGTTTCCGAGATGGATGGATTGATTGATTGATTGATTGATTGATTGATTGAAATGCAGCAGTGGGCGTATTGGGAAAGTGCTGGTTAAGTCAGCTGTCCTGAAACACTCTCACATTGGCCATCAGGCTGTCTTTATTGTCAAGGCCTGTCATTTATCTATTGCCGGCTTGGAGGGCCGCAACTGAATGTGGATGTATTTGTGTTGACGCCACTAAATGAGCTGATGATGGGACTTAGGGAAACTTGGGGAGTCAGTGTTTACCATGGCCCGGGGCCACGGCAGCTTAGGCTTCTGGGGTTGAATCAGGCTGAGGCGTTTAATGTGTGACCAAATGACAGAGAAGAGCTCAGAGGCCAGTCGCAGCTCTAAGAGATAACATTTATTCTGACAAATGAGCCTGCCGCTTCTCCCTCTCAGATGTATTACGCTGCATTCATTTTCCATTAAGCAACCAATGTCATTTTGTGACTCTCTTTTCTCTCTGCAGGACCCGTGGCTGTGATCAGCGGTGAAGAAGACTCTGCCAGCCCCCTCCATCATGTTAATCATGGCATCATAACCCCGTGTACTCTGGATGCTGGGCCAGACGCCGTGGTGATCGGCATGACCCGCATCCCAGTGATCGAAAACCCACAGTATTTCCGGCACGGGCACAACTGCAACAAGCCCACAACTTGTGAGTACCAAATAATTATAAATTTTTTTGTCTAGATTTATTTAGCATAATCATCTGCGTTATTTGCCTGCTGGCTATTTATCTTGAAAACATTTAATTTGCATAACAAGCCTTCACAAGCTTCCATGGGGGGGGGTTGCCAGATGTCAAGACCTTAAATCCCCCAATCAGAGCTTTACTTGTAAATCTAAAAATTTTCTATGCATTGCTAAAATGTTTGACATTTTTTTATTTTAAATTATTTTTCTTGAGTATGCATTATTTGAGAAGTTTGTACTACACTAATCTTTACAATTAAACATACATGAGCACACAGAAAAAAAGATTGGTGTAGAAACAATTTTCACTCTAATTATTTGTTAAATTTACTAGGAATGGCAAATAACACATTGAATTAAACAACAGTTTTAAGTAGAAAATGTTTTATTTTCTTGTAAAATATACTTCAATAAGCTTTGGAAAAAGTAAAGTGTAGTTTGATTCCTGAACAAATGAGTCTTGTGAGCCAGTTGGATCAAACTGAATTATTTGATTTGCTTACTGAACCATACAGTAAGTCATTAATTTTTTGACGTCATATTTGCAATTAAACAAGAATTGTTACTACTGTATGCTGAAATAATCATTGAATCAATTAATTGGTGAATCAGTAAATTTGGGAATCAGTGAGTCATTTGAATCATCTGTCGATTAATGAATCAATGAATCAGTCCAGTCATCATTTAATTAATTAAATCAGTTAATTGGTGAATCAGTGAGTCATCAGTGAGAATTAGTGAGGCATTTGAATCATGTGTCAATCAAAGAATCAATTTAATCTTTAATCAATTAAATATTGCCATTTTTTAAAATTTGAATATATATTTTGCACTGCATACTCATGATTTCCATTCCTGCTGCCCGCCAACAGCCATTTTCCGTAATCCGACTTTGTTCCACACAGCAGGAGGCAGACATTCCCGAGCACTTCATTGCCCCCTTGAGTACGCTTCCAAACAGAACTGATTCAATTAAAGTCTGAAGACTCCTGCCATTTGAAAAGCCTATGAAAGTGTACTTATTACAGTGAGTGGCAGCGACATTGACAGTGATTTGTGGTGTTTCTGTCCTTGCCTAAAGTTTTACAGTGTGCTCAGGGAGTGCATAAATCTGCTGCCCCCCTTAGCAAGACTCATCATATTTTAGTGCACCTACTGTACTATCATATTTCCAGAGTAAATTGAACTTGGGTTTAAATTTAGGTTGGCTGCAAATTCCCTCATGTGCCTTACAGATTGAATTCTAGACAAAAGCATATGTATGCTTGAAAAAGAGAGGGTGAAGCAGGAAGCGGGGGCGTGAAAAGTTGTTAACTTTATGTTTAAAAAGAATTTGAGTGGGCTTTCAAAGCGGCCTCAACTACAAAAGTAAGTGGATTTTTTTGTGTAGTGTTTTGAAGTATATAGTTCTCACTTTATTCTCATATAGTTATTTGTTCTCATATAGTACTCATAGTAGTTCTTAATATATAGAAATGTTATATATATATATTAAATATGTTGGTATTGTTATAAAAAAAAACATTTTATATAAATATTTTTCAAAGAAGAAAATTTTTACGTGAATTTTAATGGTTGATTTCCAGATAAATTGTAATTTAATCTGCTTTAACCAGGATGAAAAAGACTCTATATTCATATGGTAATTTTAATTTCTTGCACAATTGGCAAACCTTCTGATTTCCACCTGAGAAAAGGATTCACACTAGTCCTTTTGGAGCGCCGATGGGTTTTCTCTTCCACACGGCCTTGATCCGAACTAATCTGTGAATTATCTGTCTTTAGGATTTTACATTATTCCGGGGCTGGCAGACTGTATTCCCTCAACGCACCCATTCACTCTTTTTTATTCTCTTTGTACTTCCTATGAGCTTTTCCATGATTTCCAAATCAAGCCAAAATTGGATTCTCAGTGGCGTGCAGGGAGAAAAATGGCGCTACCTTGTGTTTCCGGGCACCATGTGCTTCTGATCTGCCTGTTCTGTCTCCAATGTGGAGACAATCCCAAACTAAGTGAGCTTTGTTAAATCGGCTTAATTTTATCGGCCTCTAAAGATGTGATTCTGGTTCTCCAGCCTCTTTTGAACCCCAAAAATGTGGCAGAGTCTCATCAGTCATATTGTGCTGCTTTGTTGCCTCATAATCAAATAAATTTGATTTGTTTGTGGGCAGAGACATGCAACTCAGGCTGGATATCACTTTTGAAGCACCTGGAGGCGACCAAGAAGATTAATTTAATTCATCTGAGCCGAAGCAATAACAACACAGCTGATTGCATGAGGTGTCAATGTCGAATCCTGAATCTTTTTTCCTTTGTACTTTTTTTTTAACAGAAAAACTTGTTTTAGCACAGACCTCAAATTATTTTATACAAATATATGTATAAAAATATATAAACAACTAAAACTCTAAAACAACTAAAATTAAAATGCTATATATATATATATATATATATATATATATATATATACTATATATATATATATACTGTATA